GGGCCATAATAAGGGGGATGCTGTCAGACTGCAGGGGTGAGGCCCTCTCCCCCGTTCGGCTGTTGAACATGGGCAGCGTTGACAGAGGTGGGGACGCCCCTCGGGTTCCAGCCATGGCCCTCAGCTCATCCGTGTTGTCGTGAATGGTGTGGTGGTGGTACAGTTGAATTCTGCAGCGCGCGGAGCATCGATATGGTTTGTTAGTCTGCATAAAATCTAAAAAACGACTGATCTAATAACAATGAACGTCAGAGTTTACTCACTGGTCTGTTCTTGCATTCCTTTTCACCCTAGAAACAAAAAGGTAAGAAGGCGTTTTAATATCATATACGGCAAGAATCCACCTACTTCTTGTTGGAGAGAAAAAAAAGCTCTGTTTTGTATTTCTTCGTTGGGTTGGAGATAGATACACACACTCCCTCTCGTCGGCCGAACATGATGTAGGCCAGCAGCACACACAGGACGATGGCGAGGACCAGGGGCACGATCACCGTCACGACGTAGTCCGGGAAGAAGTCTCTGCCCGGGGGAGACTCCGGAGGGTCGAAGTCACCTCCCGACTCCAAGATGCCCGAGCCCATCGTGGGAGCAGGTGGCTCCGGCTCCGCCTTGGTCAGGTCAAACTGCAACGAGAGGCAGCAGGGGCACCGACTCTGAGCCACGTACGCGAACAGATGGCGGGATTTTCTTTGTGTCAGTTTAAACCGACTCAGATGCACTTCAAATTCTTTTCTGATTTTGTGGTTAATTGTATACCAACTTGGCCTATAGCTCTGGTTTGCACAACAACTATTTGTTGATCAGAAAATGCTTTAATCTATTAATTTCCTTTTAAGTCCTTTTGAAAAATCAAGTTATAAATGAGCCAATAACACGTCAAGATGAGGTTAAACATCAGTGTTTTCCCATAGTTTGCTTCAGCCTGCGACTCAAGTGTGTGATTGATAAAGAACACTCCTCATGGATCAACCGTCTAAATCAGGAACGATGGATGACATGAAAAATGAGCCAATAACACGTAAAGATGAGGTTAAACATGAGTGTTTTCCCATAGTTTGCTTCAGCCTTTCTCTCTACATGTCAAAGCCACCAAAATAATAAACTCAGATGACAAAAAAAGGAGTGTCTGCTGCCTTTTTTTCAGGCCTCACCAGCTCCGTCTTGCACCAGGTGATGCAGTTGCTGGGATTGCTGCAGAAGCTGCATCCTCCGGGAACCTTCACTCTGGCCCCCGGGGCGCACTGCCTCTGGTGCTCTGGGGTCTGCACCCTCAGGAGACACTTGGAAAAATACTTCTCCGACCCCACCTTCACGTACACGCTGAAACAAATCAGATATTAATTTTGAAAAAAGAGAGACGTTTGCTTCGCTGCAAAGTTTTGAACGGGTGACTGTTTACCCCTCAAAATGTCCTCCGATGGGGAGGGGAACTCTGCCCCCGCGGTCGAGGGCGTTGGTAATATTGACAACCTGCAAGGCCTCCGTGTTCCACAAGTTCTGCAAGTCCTGTTTTATCTCATTCTGAACAGGAGAGGGCAGCACCTTTTCAATCTCCCTCAGCGGGACGAAGACCTCCGCTTGATAGGGCAAAATCTTCTCTGTGAGGGACACGAGAGATAGCTGACCACCCTTTTTCTCCACTTCTTATTTCATTTGATAGCAACATTCATTGTGACCATCACTGTACAAAGTGAAGCAACTTACCTGGAATCACTTTGATCACGAGAGTAAATCTGAAGGTGTCGTAGTCTTGTCTGTTGATGACATTAATCTGCAAGAAAAAGACACCACATTTACAATTACACCAAGAAAATTCCAAGCTCTGAACCTTAGAGAATTCAAGAGGGTTTTCGGCCTTTGATGAAAAGTAGCAAATACATTTAAATTAGTCAGGTAATTTGAACATTTCCAAGGATGCATTAACTCCCTGATATCTGGCTTTTTCAACATTGACTTGGAACAAACAGCCCAAAAAAATCTGTTTCATTAAAATTAGTTTTGCATGTAAATTGATGATTCTTTTTTTGTTTGTTTGTTTCTCACACGTTTTTACTGCATTCAGTATTGAGCCTGTCTGATTGTTGTGAAAACCTCAAACCTCAATCAAATTTTTCCCCGGTGAGGTCGGCGTGCCATACAGGAAGCCGTCATCGTATGGGTTCCTCTGGGTGAAACGCAGCCACTCCGGGAGGTCTGGGAAATTCTGCATTTTGCACTTAAAAATAATGGGGACGTCATTCCAACGTTGAGCTGCGTAACATGAAAAAAGATTTTTACTTGTAGACGTTTAGATTATTATTATTTTTTTGTGGATACACCATGTCGTTAGCTCACTGTAAATTCTCGATGAAGATTCAAAGTCATTCCGGAAGGTCTCTCTCATCAGCTCATAAGTAAATAACCTCCCCACGGGAATGGTGATCTCTGCATTGGCCCCAAACAGGATGACAGCACAGCCTGTGTGGAGGAGTAAAAATCCAGCAAGAATATGAATGACTCACCAGGAAAGTTAAACGGTTCCACTGATCCCTTAAAGAATGACCCGTGAATTTGACCCCGCACTGCCCTTCATGCCCTCGTCTTGTCCATCTGAAGCCCAGATTTTCAAACACGGGGCTAAAACTAAACCACGTGGGCAAAGTGGCGTGTTTAAATCGTTTGAAGCGCAATAGTTTGAGGGATAAACTTGCCTGTAAGAAAGAGCCAGCTCCCGCAGCCTGCCATCTTGTTTTGGGCTTTGATTGACAGAGCCAAGTGGAGAGGGGCTTGGCCACACAAAGCATGTCAGAGCTATTTTAGCCTCACTCACCTAATAACATCCGGAGGGGCGTCTGTCTGCTGTCAGGCTTATTATTCCCTCTTGTAATATAAAATCAAACACTTAGGGTATGGGTGAATAAATAACTACACTTAGTCAGGGCTTTATTGACACGTTGGGCACTTTACTTGCCCTCCCTTGACAATTTTATTCTGTAATCTTGCAAATTACAGTTCCAGTGCAGTACAAGAAAAGAAAGACATACCACAGACTCACAACGTTGTTGTTTAAATGGCCATTTTGTCTCTTGAGTTAAAGCTCTCTGAAATGACTGTGCTTAGCTTACTGTGCTAAACCCTGTGCTTCTTTCCCACTGCCTCACACTTACATAAACTTCTTCAACCTTTTTTCTAGAACAGCTCTCTAAGAGTGCACGTTGTGCCATGGTCAGCACCGAAATTTTGCAATTTTAATGGAAGTGATCCGGATCAAAATTTAATGGGCTCTCTGCATCTGCTCATGTCGCACCTCTCCAGAGAGATTCTCACAATTCAACCCAGAATTTTTCATACTGACCTGCAAAGAAACAAAAATCTACCTGCGACTTAAGTGTGCGATTGATAAAGAACACTCCTCACGGATCAACCCTCTAAATCAGGAACGATGGATGACTTAAAATCTCAAGCCCACAAACTCCATAATAGGCAAAATGAAAGAAGAAGAGTGTAGCTTTTTTTTATTGAGTGCAGGTTTATTAAAAAAACTTCATGGTACAATTTTTTATAGTTTGCCTCATCTATCTACATTTTATGTCAAATGGGAGCTGATGGATAGGTGTTTAACTTAATTTCATGATTAAATAAAGACAAGTTGAGAGGAAAAATATGCAAAAAAAAACTATCATTTAGTGATGGAAGTCTTTACATTGCTCTCCTATGGCTACAACTGGAACATGACCCAGGTGGCACTACTTCTTGAAAATGGAAGCTGCTATATCTAGGTGACTTTATCAGGTTCACTGTCAGCAGTATCAAGACAATGCAAATGGAAGAGGGTCTCTTTTCTGTTGATGAAACTGTATAAAAGTGTAGGCCTGGCCATGCAAACAGCCGCCTGAAACCACCGTGGGAAACCGGGACCCCGCTGATGGGTTCACAGCCCAAGAAAACAGGGGAACTCTTTGTCTGCTGTCAGAAACATTATTTAATGCATCTGTCAGCGCAGATGCAGAATGCAGGAAGCAGCAGTGTGGCCTGCACGTTCCGGACCTGCTATTGGCCGGCCGGGATTGACGTGAGCGTAAATTTCGTTGGGTCCTAAAGATGCTGTTCACCTCACTGTGTGATGGCCCGGGACCACCAGCTTTTAGAAACCAATGGAAATGGACTACTTTTAATTTTGGTGTAGATATGAGTTCTCTTTTTTTAATTTATCATTAAGAGTTAGAATAAGTATTTTGGGTCTGCTTTGATTATTTGGCACAACATTGGTGTGATACAGGAAGAAAGAACCCTCACAGGTGGATCGTTTAGGGGTTTTTGCTTTTTTTAAAGGGTTCAAATGTCAATTATTTTATCATTTCTACTCGACAAGCGACTTGACGCGACAATTCTGGCCTTTTTTGTTTTGTTTTGTCTGAGGTGGCAGAACGCGCTTGCCATGCGTTTTTTTGGAGCGAACTAGAGTAGGGCGCTAGGGCGGGGGGGGCGGGGGGGGGGGGGGGGGGGGGGGGGGGGGGGGCGGTCTGCTCCATGCAGCAGCCGCTACCGGAGCAGCAGAAATCTGCAGCTCTCAGAATGAAGACACCCGAGCGATGCCGCCTGTGAAGAAGAGGGATTAAAAAAAAACACAAAAAACGGAAGCAACCTGTCGTCATTTGGGGGTAAAAATCCGCCGCTCCCCCTCTGCACCTCTTCTCTCTTTCCCATGCAAGTATTTCCAACAAACAGACGCAGTTGATCGCGGGGGGGTTGGGGGGGTAGCGTTGCTTTTGCATCCGTGTGGCTGCAGGGAGAAGCCAGTGACAGATGCACGGTGCTGCACCGGGGAGGAGAATTGCAGTGGATGCGCGCGCGCGCGCGGGCCTCTAACGCCATCCGTTGTTTGTTGCTTCTCCACCTACCCCCCCCCTCCACCGGTCTGGTCGGGGGGCGCCACCTCCCCTGGAAATCGGCTCCCGGCGGACGATAGGGATTTGCCCGTGGGAGAAGACATGCCGCCGCTGGGCAGCCGCTGACCGACCATGATGAAGACGGAATCCACATCCAAGAGCGCCGGACCGGGCCCCGGCCCCGGCCCCGGGTCCGGGTCGGGCTCCACGCTCCGGAGCCCGTCCCCGCACAGGAACGCCTACGAGGCCGGGATGCAGGCCCTGAGGCCGGTCAAAGAGGGCGCCGCCAACGGGGGCCTGCAGGAGGGGCCCCGGGGCCGCAGGTACGGCTCCAACGTGCACCGCATCAAGAACATGTTCCAGCAGATGCAGACCACGGCCCCGGCCGACGCCGAGGGGGGCGGGGGGGGTGGGGGGACCGAGCCGGACGGCGGCTCCAGCAGCAGCAGCAGGAGCGCGGACAAGTCCTCCGTGCGCCTGTCCCTCCCCAGGGCGGGCAGCCTGAACGAGAACGTGGACCACAGCGCCCTGCTCAAGCTGGGCTCCACCGTGTCCGAGCGCGTCAGCAAGTTCGACCCCAAGGCCGAGAACGGCCACCAGCGGACCCCGTCCCCCAGCTACTCCAAGCTGCAGGAGACGCGGCGCATCTTCGAGCAGCAGCAGCAGCAGCAGCAGGAGAAGCTGGCCACCACCAGGGTGCTCCTGAAGACGGACAAGGCCTCGGGCTTCCAGGACGGCCGGCTGGACGTGGTGGCCCGCTTCAACGGCAGCACCGAGTCCCTGGACAGCCTGGACGCCGGCGAGGCCGTGTCCCCCACCGTCAGCCAGCTCAGCGCCGTCTTCGAGAGGGCGGCCGAGCTCCGGAACAACCTCCACCGCCTGTCCTCCACGCCGCCGCTGCCCTCCCGGGGGGTCAGCGCCAAGGTCGGGGTGCTGAACTCCAAGATCATCACCAAGAGGGCGGGCGCCCTGGCGTCGGGCGGTCAGGAAGAGGAGTCTGGCCGCCAGAGGGGCCAGGAGGCGCCTCCCTCGAAGGGCGCCAGGGGGAGGGCGGCGCCCCCGTCGGACGGCCTCAACGGGGGTCAGGTCGCCGGTCAGTGCGTCCCGGCGTCTGGACGCTCTTCTGCCGGAGGGGGGCCCGACGAGCAGAGGGAAAAGACCGTGTCCAACGCCGGGGTCCAGGCCAAGGCCGAGGTCAGGCACGAGGTCAGCGCGGGGGACGCCGGCGTTTCCGTGGAGAACGGCGGAGAGGCCCCCGACGAGAAGCGAGGCGGCCGGCAGGGCCAGGGGGACGGCGTCCAGGAGGAGGTGGACGAGGAGGTGGACGACGGCGGCAGGACTCTCAGAGACGAGCTGTCGGGCCGCGACTCGGTGGACATCAGTGCCTACAGCGCGGTGGGGGAGGACTTGGAGGGAAGCCAGAGGGACGAGGACGAGGAGGTGGACGAGGAGGCGGACGAGGAGGCGGATGACCGCTACGAGCCCGAGTCCAGCTGCGTGGAGATCACGGGGCTCCCCGCCGAGGAGGACCCGCCCCCCTCCAGGAAGATCCGCTTCAGCTCGGAGCCCATCAAGGTGAGGAAAAAACACACCCAGGTGGGCGGGAATAATTACCCCCCCCCCTGACAAAAAAATAAAAAGGCGAGAAAGTCTTTCTCTCGCCATAATAATCCCCGAGCCATTGTTATTTAGTGTGATTAAGCCCGCGGCGGCGGGCTGGTGTGGGATTTGTTTGTGTAGAGGACTTGACCTCGGGGGCTTATCTGCCGTGCTACAGTCAGAGCCGGGGCTTTTGTCAGCTTTTTTTTTTTTTTTTTAATGAACTCACTCAGCTTCTTTCTTTTTCAGACAGATGCTGACATTTTGATTTGACTGTCTGTCAACGGCTTTTTGGCTTTCGCAGCTCTGCCTGCACCCTCTCCCTCTCCCTCCCCAGCAGCTCGGCCCCCTGCATTCCTACCGTGCGTCCGGCGGGGTCACTATCCTTTTTTTTGCTTCGGTCAGTGACTGTTGACGGAGAGGGGGGGGGGACGAAAGGGCCCAGATATAGGTGCCCGGTGGAAAATGGAGTGCTTTTAGGTGTGTGAGGAGGACAGGGGAAGTGAAGGGGAGAAGGGGGAAAAAAAAAGAAAAAAGAGTCTGTGATCTCCTTTTGGACCAGTGAGATGAGAGGAGAGAGGACAGAAAAGGAGGAGGAGGAAGAGGAGGAGGAAGGAGAGTGGATTCAAAGTGTCGCCCCGTGTTTGGCGGCGGCGCGGTGATCCAGAGAGGAGCATCCGATTCTCCCCGGGCTCGGCTCTGCCCGGGAACCCGGAGCCGGGCAGAGCCAAAGCGGGCCCTGACGCTCCGCATCACACGCACACACACACACACTAACACACACACACACACACAGACACGCACACACACACGCCCTCTCGTTGTAAGCCATCTCTTTTTCACTGACTAAGTGCTCCTGTCTCTTATCACCACCACTCAGGTCAAGAGTTGCTTTTTGCTATTTCCTCATAGCTGCACAGTGTCCGGTAGAGTTTCAGTCACGGTGGGAATCACATTTCACAAAATGAGACAACGGACTGCGGTCAAATCGGACAACAGAAATGAGATTCAGCAACAGCAGATAGCGGAACCCATTATTACCACTTTCAGAGTAGTTAGCTTTTACCTATTTTTGTTGTGCGATAGGCAGTTTCAACAAATTCAAAACCACTAAAATGCTAAGAAGTAATAAAAGTAAATGAAATGTGTAAATAGGGCTGTGGGGTTCTTGGAACAGGCAATTTGGGATGTTTTGTTTAAAATAAGTTGCCATGATGTGTGACTATGGAGACAAATAGTTCAATATATGCTGCTATTTTCAGTGTTGTGGACAGAATACGTATTAGCATAGTTGGTTTTGTTGTTTTTGTTTGGTAGGTAGATCCCTCCATGAAAGTTCATATGCAGAAAACAAACTGCTGAGCGCACTGCTTTCCTAACAGAAGCATTCCACAGCTAAATGCATGTAAATCGGACTCCGTTTATGCTGGTATTGACGGCATTAAAAGGCGGTGGAAAAAAAGATCCTAACTTATTGGCTTTGATGGAGAGCGGAATATGGCCGGGGCTCCGCAACCGTCTCTGGAGAATAACCTCCCATTGACTCCTTTCATACTGTATCAGTGTGGTCTTTGTTATGGAGATTGATGCGAAGGGTGGATGAGAGGGAAAAAAGGGAGGGTGTGAGGTCAAATGGGAGGGGCCTCATTATGCAGCTCAAATGTCATGCCACTGTGTGACTGCCAGCCCTTAAGTCGCACTGTCACCCGGCTTCTCCCTCCAAACAGGAAGTGGCCATTTTTAGTGCATATTTCCCCCTCCGTGCAACAATTCGGCTTTTAGCCACAGAGGAGGCTTGTGGTGGCAGCGTTTCTCAGTCGCAGGCCTTTCTTTGTCCCCTTTTTTTTTGGGCGCTCCTCTCTGTCTGTCTGCCTGTATCTGTGAATGGCAAAAAATAGCTCTTCTGCTCTGGGTAGAGTTCACACCAGACGCCTGTGTTTGCTCCCCCTGACACTCTGTCTTCGCTCCTTCTTTTTTTCCTTTTTTGCTTTTCGTCACCAGGCTGCCGCCGTTTGTAAAAATAGCAGCATTGTTACCATCAGAGACTCGCCTCGCTTTTGACGGCCGCCCCCCCTCGTTGAACACAGGAAGCTGCCTCTCATGTCTTATTTATTTTGCTTTCGCTTGTTTCTTTTGGCTTAATTCTCCCAGCTCGCTCGCTAACAAAACACTCGGGGACGTTTTGGGATGTAACCCTTTCGGCAAGTTTGGCTTTTGAATTATTTCTCCCGCTGTGCCGGAGAGCTTTCTGTTTAAAAAAAGGAGATAATCTCCAATGGATTTGAGCTGTACTCTCTCCAAACCAGAAACAATCAGATTTATTTTTCATGCACCACAATCACCTTGCTCTCTCCTCACCTCGCCCCCCCACCCCCCCTTCCGCCCCATCACCAAACCCACATTCACACTCTCAAACATGCGAAGAAGATCTTTGAATTCGTTTCACACCGCGTTAATTAGAGAAAAAAGCTGTTCTTAGATTTCAGTGAACAACACATTTTTTCAAACATAATTGGAGGAATAACTCTTTTAAAGGTCTCAAGACTGAAAAATGTAAAAAAGAAAACACCAAATTCAATGATTTTGGGATTAACACATCGGTCAATTAGGGAAAGCCCAAAAGTGGCAGCACATTACCGCTCGCCATCCCATCCTGGAACCGGCCGGTCACTCCTGACCGGAGGCGTGCAGCCCCCTCGTGCTGGACATTACTCACAGCCAGGAGACGGTGGGAGAGCAGACAGATTATCAGCAAGGTCAGGCCGCCCCACTTCTCAGTCCTGCGGCGCTGCGTTTGCAGCCGTCCGTGCGCGGCGTGCACGGCGTGCACTCGCTCAGGTTACTGCGACAGGCCTCGTTACGCAACGCCCGGCCCGCGATGCCCGAGCATCGCCCCGTCCAGCCGACCAGACGGCGTCTCCGCCGAAAAACTGCCGACTCGGCTCAAAGCTGGGGCTGCAGGGCTACGCTGACCTTCCGCTTCTGCCGTTGAGATGCTTGACTTTTTGGGGGGGACTTTGTAGAGCCGTTCCAGCTTTAGTCGTGCTCACACAAATGTTTCAGATTTAATCTGTGTTGGACAGTTTGAATTGGAATTATTTGACATATTTCCACTTTAAAATTGGACAGGAAACTAAAATGCACTTATGGGAATTCAGACGTCTGATAAATGTTACGAAACACGAACAAAGAGAAAAGGAAAGGTATCTTTTTTGGGGGCATTTTCTGTTTGCATGGCATTGTTGCTCTTTTAGCAACATAGAGCTCGACTAGAAGGTAAAATGATTGTCTCACGGAGCTGCTGTTGGTGCTTTTCACATCTGTTTCGCTGTTGGAAGGCACTGCTTTTGCTTGTTTGCAGACTTTAACTCTTTCAATAAGCTAGGTAAGAATCTGTGTGACCATTGAAAGGAAATGAAAACACCTGCCATGGCTAATCGGAGCCAAAATAATTCACAATATTTAACATCATTTTGGCTAATACCTTTAAAAAAAAAGAAAAAGAAAAGAGGAGTGGGCTAAAAGAGAATCTTTAACTGTATTAAAGTAGGTCAGAAAAACAATTCAGAAAAACCTTAGATAATTAATATGCTTACTGAATACGGAGCTATAAAATCGAATAAACTCTAAGAAGACGACATATAGCTGTCCAGTACAGTTGTTGTGGCGGTCCATTTAGTGTGGTGGGACTTAGTTCTGCAGCTGACCTTGTTTTCGTGCTGCTGTGCTCTCCCCAGGGTCAGCGCTCATCACAAACCTGACCACTGACCAAAGGGTGTCTTGCCAAAACACATTGGCTTTGATGCCAGGGGGCGCGGTAGCTATAATGAAGCTTTCATATCCATTTTATTGGCAACAGAAGATTGGCCCAACCTCACGGCAGGGCGAGGCCAAATCCTTATTTTTCTGTGTGCGTGTTGCACATCTGGAATCTGGATTAACGCCACCGTTTTTGGAGGATTTAGCAGCAGTGGCCTTACCTGCGGGGCAAACGCAAAAAAAATGGAGGTGCGATTGAATTCTAAAAGTGAGAAATGCCTAATGTGCCCTAACAAAAACGACTTTAATATGCATGCTGATCCTTTAAGAGGAACATGAGAATGCCTCTTTCGGCATTTAAGGTGGAAAGGGAGGATAAGAGAGAATCCACATGCCCAGTGAAAGAAGTCTGGAGGAAAATGAAGAAAAAGCAAACAATGGAAAGTTGGTCTCTGCAGAGTGCAGAGAAAGTGGAAAACACACTATTTCTGCACCACCTCCACACACAAACACACACACACACACACGCACATTCTGTTGGCTAAATCCAAAATTAGATTTGTTTTGGAGTCCAGAGGGGAAAGAAACACAGCAGTTGACACGCAGCTGTGGGCAGTGGGGGATTGTGGGTGGGGGTTGCAGCCACTGTGTGCTGTCCGGCCGCGGCCAGGACATCGCTGACCCCCACCGGATCAGAGCAGCTCCATCTCCCTCTCACGAACTAACGGCGCTGAAAAATGGTGGTCGTCACTCACTGCCCGCTTTTAATACCCTTCGCTGGTCCAAGTGCGGGGGCTCTTTATAGTCACACACACAATCTGCTGGTAAGTGGCTCTGGATAGCTGGCCCACAGAGCTTTTGTAGGACATCCCAGACTGCTGGTAGCAGAGGGAGGGTGGGAGGAAGGGAGTTTCCTGGCCATCTGTTAGCTTCTCTGACCTACTATCTGCCACAACTGGAACAGCGTCCTTCTCCAGCCTCACCCGCCGCCCCCCCCCCCCTCCACGGCTCTGCCTTTAATCCCAATGTTTGTCTTGCAAAGGCATCCGCCATCCCTTCTGTGGGCTTCATCTAGAAGCCTACGTGTGTAAGTAAGGCTGGGTCAGAGGTCACATCATGCAGGATCCCAATTAGATCGTCTGACCCATGTTGGTTTTTAAAGTCAAGGGGGGGAAGGAGTGGCACACGGGTGTCAAAGAGAGCACGCTGCTGTTGTTTCATCCTCTGCAACATGTGACTGAAACCATTCTGTTTTCTGTCTCTAATCCGTTTTCTATTCATCTGTCTAAATACAAAGGTAACCTAAATCATAAACAGCATTGCTCCCATGATGTCATATTAAACAGTTGTTGCTGTACTGCTATATTTAAATTAATTAATGTTTTTTTTTGCCAGAATTTTAAAATGTATACTTATTGGCAATTTTGATAAGTTAGATAGAAAAAACCTTCACCACCATCAAGATTGCTGAGTAAATATGGGGCTGTTCCAAATAAATTATTAGCATAGCTTAGCCTAACATTACTTAGCTTAACGTAGCTTAGCTTGATATAGCTTAGCTTAGCTTAGTTTAGCAAAGGACTGGAAACACCGGTAATGTCAATTTTTCTGAATTTTTGTGTTCATTTGGCAGCTTCAGCTGTTCCTAAATGTCAAAGTCTCACAGGTAAAATAAGAATTTTCCTCTAGTATGAAATGGAAAAACTTTGAGATGGTTTCCATGGCCTAAATAGATGGTAAAAATCAACATGATTCGGATGGTTACTTCTTTTTATGGTTCTGTCTGGACAGCATCCTTACTGAAACAGACAATCACATACACAGAGAGAGGATTTTCCATCTGATTTAACCCTCTTTGGAAAGTCACTTAGCTTTTCTGCTTTTTTGTTTTTAGAGAGTGTAGCTGCTAAAAACCATTCAGTCTCCAGACCAAAGCAGCCACAGGGATTTTCTGCTCATGCTACCACGGCAACGACTGAAAGCGATATTTAATATCTTTGCTAATATTGCACAGCAGAAGGGCCTGTTCGATATTAATGAGCGCTCGCAAATAAAACATTTCCATTAGCGCTGACGGTATCATTTCTTATTATGATGGCGTCTTTGGGAAGCACCTGTCTGGTTTTTATAAGAGTTTCTTAGTCATATGTCACAAATATTCAAATGCTACCATGTCAGTTCAGTCATACCTCATTTGACTTGCCTCTAAAAATGAGTTGGCATTTGAACCTTACTCGCACGTGTATGCACGCACGACAGGAAGTCCCGATAAGTCAGAGACGCCATTTAGCCGTTTCCCTGATTACAGCTGAGCCCGATGAGCTGAGTCTGCTGCCTTTCCCTTCGTCGCTGTTGTTCTGTGGGTTTAAGACTGTAAATCTCATAGCGTGAGACGGACAGAGTCCGATTGGTTTCTCAGATCTTGAAAAGCTGCCAGAGACAAAAGCATTGTGAGACAGCACAACAGATACAGAGATGAGAGAACATTAAAGCAACTCTAGATTTCTTTAAAAAGAATAGGTACAGCACTAATGTGGTTTAAAAAACAACTCTAAACTATTTTCTTATGGGCAAGAAAAGCTCAAAAGTAGAACCAAAAGCTCTTAGCAAGGATGCATGAAAATAAAAAGCATTTCATTTTATTTTTGTATTTCAGAGGGGCTGTCAAAACTGACAACTCTTTACTGTGGGGTTGCCTGGGAAACGGGGGGGCCCACACTGTATGGCTGAAGAGCATCAATAAAGCCTCAAGATGGTCATTCCTAACTCATTTATCCAAGTTAAGGAGAAGGGCTGGAGGAGATTTAAAAAAAAAGGATGAAAATGTGGCAGTCCAGGAAACAAACGGGAGAGAAAAGTTAAGAAAATGTCCTCAAACGTAAGAGGGGAATGTCCGAGAGAAGTAGCCCCGTTGAATTAGTGGAGCTAGTGGAGCGTGCAGGGTGCCGCATACATAATTACTCAGGAAGACTGAAAGTGAGGCTTTTAAAGATTCAGCCTACTCTGTGAGTGTAGGTGTGTGTGGCTGTGTGTGTGTGTGTGTGTGTGTGTGTGTGTGTGTGAGACCACCAGGCAGCAGCTGCAGAAGGCCTCCATTAGCATGCAGGAGGAGGTTATGTAAACTGTCATGCTGTTGGGCCAGAATGAATGTGGGAAGTCGGGCCTCGAAAAACAGAGGCCTCTGTCTTGGTGAGAGCTGTGATTGGTTTTTTTCCCCCCTCGTGTGTTTCGGTTACCGCTGGGCAACGATACCCGGAGGAAATGCCGTGGCCGTCCCCCGTTGGAACAGTCAACACGGCTTGATTGCATTACGGCCGCATTAAAGCCAGCGGTCGGCTCTTATCAAGCGTGGAGTCGGCCGTGGGTCTCAATCATCGGGGCTTCCTTGCCTTCTGTTAGCTCTGTTAAATTCTATGTGGACCTTTTTTTTGTAAGCTTAACCAGATACAAATCCGGGGTTTTAAACATCCATCATTCGTCCACCGTTCCACGGCGTCCTTTGAGGTCATGCGTGTTATCAGCAAACATACGTGAGATACGGCCCCACTTCCTCCTCCGTGTGTCTTTCTGCATGCAACCTTTTTCACGGGGTTTACAGAATTGACAGTCACCGCACCCTTCTACCCATATGCCCCATGGATTGTCTGACCCATTCAAATCTCTATCGTATAACACTAAAAAGGGCCTGAAAACAGATTTCCCAACATGAGTCTCTGACGGACTCATGTCACGAAGCCTAAGTGTGACTGCTGGTCTGATTCAAACTCAAATCCCCCCTCTCTCGCAGGTGTTTGCCACATATCCCAACGAGGACTACGACAGACGCAACGAGGACGTGGATCCCATGGCGGCGTCGGCCGAGTACGAGCTGGAGAAGAGAGTGGAGCGGCTGGACCTGTTCCCTGTCGAGCTGGAGAAAGGTACCGAATGTTAAGAAACGGGATTCAGTTCTCCCCTATTTGATCACGCAAACGTTTACAGTGTTTTCGGCCAGCTTTAAGGCACCATGTTGCTGAATTGGACAGTATAATTGGACAGAGGACATAAGTTTTTTCTGTTGGCGAGAAGGGTAAATGTACAACCACTTATGTAAAGAGGCCTGAAGTCCTCCATCCGTTCTGGAAGCCATCCGGGCTTTCCTGAAGGCTTCTTGAGTGCAGTGGGGAAACTCTCTCCTTCTATCTCTCCGTGGTCGTCCACAATGCAAACATCCTCTCGTTTCGTTGCATTAATCATGTGCGGACGTCTATTTCTGTCCGCTGCATACGGGGTGTGTCCCCCTGCTCTGGCAGCCACAGTGTGTGCCGTGCATTTCCCTCCAGGCGGGAAATGTAGGTACCATTCTGATAAAGATCCACAGCGACCTTTTCAAACGGCCCCGGTTCTATTTTCAAGACCAGGAGAGGGTTGATCTTTTCGGGCGTCGGGACACAAAGGATTTCGTGCATGCTTTTATTCAGCTGCTGATGATGTCAGGCTAAAGTCTACAAAGAAGAAAAGTTCAGATCACTGCTAATCCTCGCACAGCCTCCAGTTAGTCTCTTATTTCTCACATTTGGGTTGTAGTTAGAACCTATTGATCTTAATTTAGGGCTATGGACGCGCATTAAAATGAACTTTTTATTTTGCTCTCATCATTTCACCATTGAAATGATAAGTAAAATATATTTTTGTAGATTTCTAAGGATTTTTTAAGGCAGATTTGTGCCGTTTAAAGGGAGTCAGCACCCCACAAAAAAACAAACAAACAAAAAAGACGCTGACAGAGCTCCATGCTCGATCAACTAGCTAATCAGGTTCCCCCGGCTCCCTTCCAGATGGAGACGGCCTGGGCATCAGCATCATCGGGATGGGGGCCGGAGCCGACATGGGTCTGGAGAAACTGGGCATCTTTGTCAAGACCGTCACAGATGGAGGAGCGGCACACAGGGACGGCAGGTTAGTTTCACCAAGCTTTTAACCGCCAAGCCGTTGGCGAACCTCTATTTTCAGCATTTTGAGAAAAAAAACACTGAAAACTGAAATGCCTTAAAAACTACCACAAGAAAACAACCCGCGTTTCTTGTGGTGTTTTTAAGTCCAGAGGCAGATGCTTATTTTTCCCTATTTTTGGCCGTGGGAAAGCCAGGACTCGATAAAGGAGGCTTTCTTTTGTGTCGGGGGTTCGGGCTGTTTTAGTGAAGCTCTCATGTCTCTGCAGAATCCTGGTGAACGACCTGATCGTGGAGGTGGACGGGACCAGTTTGGTGGGGGTCACCCAGAGCTTTGCCGCCACCGTGCTCAGAAACACCTCAGGAACCGTCAAGTAAGAGCCGCTCGGAGCCGTCTTACAGCGATTCTTCGACTCTTCTTTTACGTCCGGAATCTCACATTTGAGCGTCTGCGTCGTCTTTAGAATCTACAAAGAATAACGCCCGCTGCTTTGGCGGTCCTCTGATGGTCAGCGAGCATTTTCATAAGCTCGGAACCTTTTCCAGGACTTAATGACCCATTCAGAATCCCATTTGAAATATTAGCCCGCCGAACATGTTGTTCTCTGTTTTGCAGCTTGTTCTGGCATCTGGGATTCTTCTTTTAAATAGCTAGTTTTCCTTTGATATGTACAGCCTCACTCACACACACACACACACACACACACACACACACACACACACACACACACACACACACACACACACACACACACACACACACACACACACACACACACACACACACACACACACACACACACAAGGCTGACTTCTGCCACATCCTGCCCATTCGGTTCACCAGACTTAAAGATTTATATCACAGGTCTCACGGGGTCATGATTACACCCTTCTGCTTCTGGAAACTCCTTTTTGCCACAATAAAATCACAGTTATCAGACACAAATACAGTTGGCATCACGAGCATCAGACAGCAATTGGCTTTCTTCCTCGTCTGTGCTTTGCTGGCTGTTTCTGTGAGCTCCTTTTGGAAGTGGAGCCCATTCATAATTCAGGGTTTTTCGCGGTCAGGGCCGTTGGGATAATTGTTAGTGTGGCGAGACCCGGGAAGATGGGAGACCTCCTGTAGACGGATCATCCATTCCCGACGGCGGCGGGGGGGGGGCCGAGCCGGCCGGATAAACGGGCCCAGACAGGAAGTGTGTTTGTGGACATTTAATTACCCGTTAACGCTGGCGAAATTGAAAGGTGGCGGCGGGCGGCTTAATAACCGTCTGCCTCTTTGTCACGGCTCGGTGTAATTTTCCCCCCTGTTTGCTGTTTGCTTTAATTTGACAGAGATTTGTGAGTCTCGGTCAGGAGGCACAGCCTCTGTAATGACAGTAGGACGAGTAAAAAAAAGGAAAAAAAGGATTTTACGAGTTTAGCTCAGGCCATTACAGGCAGCCGTTTTTCTGTCATCAGCCTAAAATAATACATTTAAGAACTCAGGGAGGCTGCAAGAGGTTCATTAAACAAGATGAACGTGTGAGCTGATGGGCGTTTTCTCTCTCTAACCCGCAGGTTCGTGATTGGCCGGGAGAAGCCGGGCGAGCAGAGCGAGGTGGCCCAGCTCATCCAGCAGACGCTGGAGCAGGAGCGCTGGCAGCGGGAGATGATGGAGCAGCGCTACAACCAGTACATGGACGAACAAGAGGTCGGTCTCCCAGATCCCCAACACCAAATCCTGCAAACGCACTCTACCCGTTTTCAGAAATGACGTCCCTGTCCAGTGAGTGGAAAGGTGCCGTTAAAACATTCAGCCACGCAGACAAACGGCACGTTTTACATACAGAATCCTAGTTTTTTAAGTCCAGAGTGTCCCTAGAGGATTGACAAATCTATCTCTCCGCCCCGATAAACAGTCAAAATCATCCAGTATGTATTATCAGCACGATCAGACGGTAAGCCCGGCTCAGAAATGAGGACAAATCTGGATGACTCAGATTGTGTGCCCCCGTGAGCCTTCTCCTCTGTTGTCCCTGTCTCTGATTTTTTTTTGCCTCTTTTGTTTAGACGTGCATCGCTTTCACTCGAAGGGATTTGAAAAGGGAAGGTTTTCTTGTAATAACAGGGTGGAAGTTACCCCATGCGTGGTTTCGGGGGGGAGACAGTGGGTAGTCCTTCAAAAGCAAGAGGGTTGTATAATAGGAAAGTCCTGGACTTGTTTGGGTTTTGTACCATCTAGTGCCCGCTTGGCGTCAATGCACTGAAAAAAAAAAAGACTGAATGTCCCTTTCTGTCTTTGTTTTGATCCGAATAACCAAATATTTAACTTAAGTCATTTTTAGTTAATTGAACCAAGTCATTCCTGGTAAACCGAAAACTAAATTTCACTCAAATTCAGTTTGGGCTTTCTACGTGGAGCAGATGGATGAAGCTTTGCTTGTTTTCTGCTCATCTCCGCAGGGTGGGGAGTACGGTACGGACGAGGAAGAGGACGAAGACGAGGAGGCCAGTCCGCCCTATCCCAGTGCCATCGAGGTGTTCGATCTGGCCGAGAACGAGGACATGTCCCCTCTGGAGACGGACCCGGAGAAGCTGGCCCACAAGTACAAAGAGGTGAGGCGCGGGCCCCTGAACGCAGCACATCTGGTCTGTGATCACAGCGATCGTTTCTTACTGTTAACGCAGGTTTTTAAAAGTGACTCTTTCTTTTTGAAAGCTCCAAATCAAACATGCGGTGACTCAGGCGGAGATCCAGCAACTGAAAAGAAAGGTGAGATGTCTTTTCAGTCTGTCAAAAGCCTTTTTGAAAAATTTTTTTTGAACCAACGTAATTCTACTATAAGAAAACGGAAATGGGCATTCCTCGATGCTTTAAGAATCGAAGGATGCCGTCGGGTCGTGACTGAATCTTGTCACCCGCAGCTGCACCACGCCGAGCAGGAAAAGCAGCGCTGGCGGATGGACAAGGCCCAGCTGGAGCAGACCCTGCACGAAAACAAGGAGCGCATGGAGAAGCTGGAGGGCTACTGGATGGAGGCGCAGAGCCTGTGCCAGGCCGTGGACGAGCACCTGAAGGAGACGCAGGCCCAGTACCAGGCGCTGGAGCGCAAGTACAGCAAAGCCAAGCGCCTGATCAAGGAGTACCAGCAGAAGTGAGACGGCTCGGGGGGAGGAGGAGGAGGGGTCAGCCGAAAAATGCGCAAATCCCGACGCTCACGCTCTCTTTTCTTCAACAGGGAGATCGAGTACCTGAAGAAGGAGACTCAACGTTGTGCACAAGTCGGAGCCGAAGCCACTCTTTTGAAAGAGGAGTCAGGACAACTTCAAGAGCAGGTAGGGGAGGTAATGAGGAACGTTTTGCTTATTTGAATATTCTGTAATTTTAGCCTGTAAGCAAAGGCAGAATGAGTTTATGAGAAAACTATCTGCGACTATCTAATGCAACAAATCGGAAATTAGTGTCAGAAATCGTCCACCCAAGCAAACCGTGGTTGTCCTGAGCACCTTCTTTTCTGTTTTTGTAGGTGGCTGACCTGGAGTGCCGAGTGGAAGAGCTGAAATCTGAACCTTTATAGAAGCCTTTTTCCCCATTTCATATGAAAGTTCACCTGTTGAAGGAGTGTAACTGTCCTCGTGTTGAACAGCAGGGTATTTCCTCACGGACCGTACGCGTCCTCAGGCCTCGTGTTTTCAGCCACCCGACCCTTTTAATTCTCCCTTTTTTCCGTTAACATTTCCGGAGACACGAACTCTCCTCATCGCAAGAACTCCGTTGAGGTCTAGGTGTACTGTTCCTTTTTTTGGAGATCAGTATTTTATCCTTTCATTTTGTCATTTTGGGACAGACCAAGCCGTTGCTTTTAATTGCCAAAAACCACATTTCCTTTCTTTCTTTTGTCTCGTTTTGTGACTTCTGTTTTTCTCTTTTTTTGTATAGATGTGATACTGTGTGGTTTAACAATCAGTTTGATTTGTACAAAAAAAAAAGTATTACATTTAACATAATATAAACTAATCAGATTGAGGGTTGTTGTATATTTTACGGGACGAGGACGATGGTAAGGCGGATGGAGATCGCACTGAAGAAGGCATCCACACGGTGCCGCACTGGGACGGTGGAATAAATGGGAACAAGCGTGATTTGTATTCAAAATTGTACAAACGGTAACCCAAACTTCTAAAGGGTCCTGTCACAAAACCTTGAGAACCACTCGCTGCCTACCTTTCCGAAGTGTTTCGTGTATTTTTACACATTAAGACTGAGAAAAAAGAAGTGACCGATCCTCTGGTTTTTACCCCTCGCATGGATCCAAGGACCATGGAATCAAGCCTCCACCTCTGCTGTGCCACAAATGACAACAGACCCCCACCCCGACCCCTCCCCTCTCTCAAGTGGATGTTGTTAAGGACTTGTGTAACTGCGATTAGTTAGAACTACTGATTCATACCAGACTGGAAACATAAGGAAGTCGTTACCAGCAGCCAGTTTTAGTCTCAAACCAGCAGCTGCACTCGCCACCACTGTGTGTGGCGTCTAGAAAACACTGCCAGGTTTCCGCCTGATTCAGTTTACGCACAGTTTGAATAAGTCTGCTCGTGTCACCTGTCATACCAGTATGTTTGTACAGTTCAGGTCAGACTTAAATATTTTCATTTTACTCAATATTTATAATGTAGTCAAGGTGGAACTATGAGCTAACAAGGACAAAAAAAAACAAAAAAAAAACTGACAAAAGCAACGAAGAAGGTCATAAAATAAAATAGACAGTAATACTGTGTCATGTAAAAAATAAGTAGTAGATCTGGATGACTATTAAAACAACATCTAGAATTACTTAATTAAAAAAAAAAAATAGGCATGGTTATGACTATTTTCATAATATTAAGGCTTGTACAGTGCACACGCTTTGCATTGTATGTTTTGTGGAATAAATGGTCAACAGTGATGGTTGGTGTCTTTTTCCTTTATTCGCGGCAACAAAATAAGAATGTTGACAATGGTGACATCTTAAGATTCTTTAACTAAAAAAAACAAAACTGAATAAATTGTGTTTACCTGCCTTACTATGAAATATTTACTTCAAACGAGGTTAAATACTATGTACAAAACACTCAACTTGGAGTGACGGGCGACAGTTAAAGCGCTTTAGGGGAATTTCTTAAAGTCCTAAAAAACCAAACGGTGAGGGCTCTACGCGTGCATCTTCTGATGGTGCCTCCTGAGGTGGTAGTTCCGGGAGAAGCTTTTCCCGCACTGGCTGCACTTGAACATCCTCTGCCCCAGGTGCAGCATCTGGTGGGCGCGGAGGCTCTGCGGCCGGCTGAAGCTCTTGCTGCACTCGGGGCAGCTGTGCGGCCTCACGCCCGTGTGCTTCCGCTCGTGCCTCTTCAGGTCTCCCGACTGCCGGAAGCTCTCGCCGCAGTGCGTGCACAGGTAGGGCTTCTCGCCGGTGTGCGTGCGCAGGTGCACGTTCAGCTGGCCCACGTAGGAGAAGCTCTTGCCGCAGTGGGGGCAGCTGTAGGGCTTCTCGCCCGTGTGCACGCGCTGGTGCTGCTTCAGGCCGTAGTGGTTGGTGAAGCCCTTGCCGCAGTCCGTGCACAGGTACAGCACCTTCAGCTGCCTGAAGCACGTGTGCGACTTGAACGTCTTGGCGTTCGCGCAGTTGATCCCGCAGTGCGGGCACACGTAGGCCCCTTCCTTGTCCTCGGGCGGGTCGGCCAGGCCGTCCTGCTCGCAGCGGGACAGGAACTCCACGGGGTGGTGCCTTTTGACGTGTTTGACCAGGTAGCTCTTCATGGTGAAGGAGAACTGGCAGAAGGAGCACGGGAAGAGCTCCGAGGCGCAGTGGTACTTCACGCAGGAGTTGCTCTTCTGGTGCTGCCTGAGCTTCCCGGAGGTGGAGAAGTCTTTCCCGCAGCGCTCGCAGGAGCACGCTTTGGCGCCCGGGTGCGCCAGCTGCTCGTGCCTCTCCAGGGAAGCGGAGTCCTCGAAGGTTTCCGCGCAATGACCGCACCTCGGCCGCTGTAGGGAGCACCCGTGTGCTCTGAGGTCCTCTGGGCTGCCGTACGTCTGTTTGCAGTGATTGCAGCCGAACCGTTTAAATTTCTCCGGCTCAGCGGGGCTCCTCTCGGCCGGGGCCAGGCCGGCCGATTTGCGTCTCGGTGCTATGAGTTTTGTCACCGAGGACACTTTGGACCTCGCTTTGAGACGCTGCGGCCGCTGGTGGACTGAATCTCCGCCGCTGGCGGGGGGTGGACCATCCTGCGGATTGTCCGCCGGGATGCTTTCGGCGTGAAGCGCGTTTATGTGCTGCTGCAGGGCGTCCACCGAGGAGAACGCCGCCAGGCACTCGGCGCAGCTGAAGGGCATGGTGACGGGCTCCTCGGGGTCCTGGCCGCCCTTCTCCCGCCGCTCGCCGCCCTTCTGGTGGCTCTGGAGGTGGCGGTTCAGGTCGTGGTGCTGGCCAAAGCACTTCTGGCACACTGCGCAGACGTACGGACGCAGCCTCTCGTGGACGGTGGCCTTGTGCTTTTTGAAGGCCGGCTCGTTTGCAAAGCTCCGCCCACAGTCCGAACAATTGGGCGAGCACGTTTCCGCCTCGTGGACGGGAGCATCCACGCCGTCCGCCGACTCCTCCAGATCCCGCGTGACGGCGGCTCCTCCCGTTTCCGGGGATTCAGGTGGTTCTGCAGTTTTTAATAGTTCTTCTTTTGGTTGCGGGCCCTCTGTTTCGCATGGGCTCCTGTTTCGGTTCTGAGCTTTAAGTGCAGCCTGCTTTCTGTGAACAAGCTGGTGTCTGATTAAGCCAGAAGCTTGACCAAAGCTCCGCCTGCAATGCGGACAGCAGTACGGCCGCTTGTTTGAGTGGACGGACAGCTTGTGCCTCCTAAGGTGAGGTATTTGCTTGAAAACCTTCCCGCAATCATCGCATGTTTTGGACATCATAGAATCAACAGATAATACCACCACAGGTGCTGGGGAGGGAGCCGAATCTGCAGTGGAGGAGAGATTTTCATCACCGGCTTCTTCAGGGGCTTCAGGCTGCAGGTGGAAGTATTCTTTATGTCTCTGGAGGAAGGCCTCTGTTGTGAACGAGAGCTGGCAGTGGGAGCACAGGAAGACCGGAGACGTGGCAGATATATTCCTCTCTGCAATTTAGAAAAAAAGCAACATTAACTGGTTAGCTCACTAAAAGGTCACTTGATTTAAACGACTAGTCTTAACTTAAACAAACATCTTAAAATACGGACCCATCGTAGTCAACTTCAAACTCCACTTCTGGTTCCAGTCTTTGCTAAAGTGGGAGAGCAGTTTTCTGCTGGGCCACACGGTGAGCTCATCTCCAGTATTTATGGTGCGGCAGCAGTGAAAAAGGATGCTGCCTTTATACTGAACAGCCAACAAGTTGGTTTCTTCTTTGTTACGAGCTAAATTGACATACCTGTATAAAAAAAAAGGCAATATAAATGCAATTGCTGAAGACTGAACTATCTTAATGCGGTTTCTGCTATAATTTTGATCAATTTTGTAATGCAATGACACTGTTAATTTAGAAGTCAATACCTCATCCAGTTGGAAAATGAATCTTTGGTTGCATCGATGTATTCATATTGGACTTCTTCTTTGTGAATCTGTAATAATTGAAAATACCAATAAAGCAGAACCTTAGTTAAAACACTCTTTAAATCGGGACTCATTCAGGTGAACACATCACATCTCACCTCCCAGGAGAAGTCACTTTCCATGGCATTTTCCTTTGTTGTCAATTCCCCCTCATATGGTCCAAAGTGCATTCCTGGAGACACTACTGGTCCTTGATTTATCACCCCCACCCCTGCACCAGGAATACTAGACCTCCCTATCATCATGCCATACGGTAAAGTAAGGAGTGCCCTCTGTGGGACCCCCACGTTTGTTGGAAAATCAAGAATAAAAGAAGGGCCATTAATGTTGTCAGGATCATTCTGGTCCTGGAAGAGAGTCAGACACTCCTCACAACCTGGCGAATGAAACAGGAGAACACATTGAATGAATACGCCAATAAGAAACCAAATTATACTGAATTTTACAACCATGTAAGGGGATCTGCAATCCTGCAGTGAATGTGTACTAATTCATTTGACATTGTTAAAAGTTGAAAGATGTCTAGACAGGAAAACACTTTTAGCAAGCTAAATAAATCAAGATCTACCCAGTTATGATACACATGAAAAAAGAACTATTTTCCTTACAAAAGCCGTTTTGACCCTCTGAATTTTCTTGTCCCACAGTGTCCAACAACTTTTGGATTGATGTCTGTCCTGGCTCCACAGTCGGTGCCACTGTTGAATCAAACGATTCCAGTTTTATCAAATCAGCAATCCATAAGGTTAAGACACAAAGTGTGATATCCTCTTTATTGTGGAGTACCTGATGGAGTGTTTTCCTTAGTGAGGAAGGACTCATCTGCTTCTACAACTTCCACGGTTGTTTCGACCCACTCCACGTTGCTGCCCCTGTCCGACATGAGTAAATACTCTACAAAGAAAAAATAATTAACTAAGTTTATCGATACATACATACACACATCATTCT